ACGCACATTGGGGTGCGAAGGTGCAGGTGTGGAACCCTAATGCTTGGGGATGGGAATGGACAATCCCTGGGACTTACTGGCCAACCAGTCCAGACAAGGAGCTCTAAATTCAGTGAGAAACCAGTCTCAACAAAAGTAAGGTGGCCAGGCCTTTAATCCCAGCCCCCGGAAGGCAAAATCGGGCGGAGCTCTGTGAGTTCAAGATTAGCTTGGTCTACAGAGTGATTCCAGGCCAGCCAGAGCTACATATTGAGTAGTGAGATTCCCCCAATCTCAAAAATAAAAAGACAAATTTAAATATATGTGTGTGTGTGGTTATATGTTATATATAACACAATATATAACATACATATATGTGTTTATATATTTCTATGTATCAAATATATAATTAAACTTGGTGGAAGTGAAGGAAGAAGATACTCAACATCAACTTCTGTCCTCCACACACATGTATGGGCCTGCACCCACACACATGCATACATTCTACACACACAGAGACAAGTCAGAAGTAAAAAAAAAAAAAAAAAAATTAAGATGGTTATGGAAAGGAAGCAGAGGATGGGGGGAGACCAAGGTAAAGTAAGAAAGCGATTTTCTTTCAGGTGTGTTCAGCATTGCTGTATGCCTTTTCTTTCTTTATTTTTTCTTCCTTTCCAGGTTTTTTGTTTTTGTTTTTGTTTTTAAACCCAGGCTGACCTCAAGCTGGCTTTGTAGCAAAGGTTGACCTTGAACCCTGGACCCTTCCTTCCCCGTCCACCTCCTAAATGCAGGGATTACCTTCCCCATGCTGTTTTCACTCTGCAGAAAGCTTTAAAGACAGGAGTACCAGATGCCTCCTGCCTCCCTCACCCAGCTGGGTTGAACAGCTAACGCAGAACAGCTGTTAGCCCTTGCGTTCGAAAGAGAAGCCTGTGCGGAAGACTCCAGAGAACAGTAGTACGCAAAGGGGCGGTTGAGACACCTCAAGGTCTCCTGCGTTTCAGACCCGGCTTTCCAAATCGGTCCCCAGCTCCTGGGCCAGAGACCCGGCCTTGGCAAAGCGACCAAAACGTGTCAGCGCATCACTTCTACCTCCGGTAGGGTGTCTCTAAGACCTGGATGACCGGCTGGGTTCTCCGAACGACAGGGAAACGGAGAGCCTTTTCTCTCCTGCAAGCAGTGGGGCCCTAAAGACTTTAAAGTCAGAACCCAAGCGAGGGAAGAAGAGGGGGTGGGGTGGGCTTAGCCCGCCTCCCCCTCGTTGTGGGAACTTTGGCACCTAGATACCACCGGGGTAACCTTGGACCCCCAGACCCTAGAACTCCGAGGGAACCAGCATCCCATCCGAGGATCCGCTATCCCCTGCTCCGGGGCAGGCTCGGCTGCCCGCAGCCTGCAGCGTCCGGGACGCGGTGCGCTCACCCCGTGCGGTGCTCGGTCCGGCGCTTGCCTGCCTGCAGTGCTAGATTTGCACGGCGCTGCGTCCCCGCGCTGCTCTGTCCCTCAGGCGCTGCCTTCCAGACGGCGCTCGGGACCCCAAGCAGCTCGCCTTTTTTGGGCGCTTGGCGGTATTTTCCGTCCGGCCCCACATCACTTCCCGTTGAGGAGAGCGCGGTGAGGGCGGGCCCTGCGCGGCCTCCACCTCCGCCTCCTGTCACCTGCTGGCCGGCCCCCGGCCGCAGAAACCACCGCTCTCCTCTCCTCGCTCGGCCAGGAACAGGTTTCCTCGCCCTGTTCCGTGAGGCGCGGGAACCGCAGCGGGCGGTTTTCGCTGAGATCAAGAGCGCCATTCACAAAAAGGTCAACCTGCCCCAGGATTCGGGCGGGCGCGCTGAGTGAGGCCAGGCGTGCCCTGCCCTGGTGACTCCAAAGGTCTGTCCTAAAAGCAAGCCTTTTCCTGGCTGTACATCCTCTCCGGGGACAGCCTGGGCATGGCCTGCTGGCGTTCCTGGCCACGACAGTAAGAGAATGAGAAATACTGTGAGATTCGGGCAGGAGAAAATACACACCGTTCTGGGAAGCAATGGCTAGCGAAGTCTACATGCACACAGTCTAATTCGGATTACAGTCACCCAATGTCCTAAAAAAACAAAAAACTGTTAGGGCAGTTACACAGTCAGAAGGAAGTTACGGGGTGGCACAACATACTAAGACCCGCCAGGATGCGGAGCATTCTGTGAACCTCTGATGCCTCCTAGCGGCCTCCTCTGGATGCCCAGGGTTTCCTGCGAGCATGGATGACTTTACTAGCTAAATCCACCCAAAGGTGCTTTCAACACCGGCCTTCTTGTTCCTTCAGAATCCCACTTCCAAGACAACAAGCAAAATGCTGGGAAGCCCGAGTTCGGCTCCCATCCATGCAGCTTTGCCCCCCACCACAAACCCCTGCTGTCCCACCCACCTGCCCACCCACTCACCCCTCCGGGCTGCAGCGTCACAGTGCAGTCAGTTCCTCAACTACGGCCAAGGGGCTTTCTGCAGATGACAGTTACTGGAGCCACCCGAGCTTCCATAAGCGTCCCCGGTAAACTCACTGGGCTCACCAAGCTGGACCTGAACAGAATCTTCTAAAGCCTCCTATCTGGGGTGAATGGAACAGAATCCCCAGGAAGAATAAGGCAAACATCTTCCTTCAGGCACTAGCTCGGAAGGAGCTACCACCTTTCAATACCAGGACTCTAGGGACCAAGCTTCCCACGCATAAGCCTGCGGGGTTAAAGCGGTATATGAACCGTATTAGAGAACAGCACAGTGAATGCTAATGGTTGGCATGGTCCAGGTGGAACACACACCTTCAGCCTTCCCCGCTTCTGCAGCCAAGCAGGGCCTTGACTTGGAGTTCACAGACAGATGCCCTTTCATCATCTGTGGATGCTTTCAACGAGGCACTCTGAGGCACAGCGGATGCCAAGCTTAAACAGTGGACTAGTGAACTGCTCCCCACCCCAGAACTTACTTGTCCGACAAATGCTTAAGTAGGAGACTCCAGAGACACCCAGTGTCTCAATAAGGAACTAAAGGATGCCCTTGGTAGAAAGACACAATGGAAGATGCCTGGATCCCAGCCATGGGGATTGGGGGTGCGTGTGAGGGAGGCTCACACAGGAGTACCACTTGATCCCAGGCTCTGAGACCAGATCTTCAACACATAAAAAATAACACCAAATCAAAGAAACTGATGTATATATGAAAGAGGGAAGATGAACTATTCTATCATGAAAAAGGGGAAGATGGGCCTAGAAGCAAAACAGAGGAGCCCAGGCTGGCTTCCACCTTCCTATGTAGCTGAGGATGACCTTTAGCTCCTGATCCTTCTGCTTCCACCTTTGTGCTGGGATACACACCCCGGGTGGGGGGTGCTGGGCACGAAACCCAGGCCATCACCCACTGTCCTGAGACTCAACTATGCATCTAGTTCCAAAAGCCCACGTCTCTGCCTGGCCTGAGATCATGTGGCATGCTCTAAACCAACAAACAATGAAAACCTGTGCCACTGCCATAGCAGAACAGAAACTTGCAACTCCATGTCCTGGTCAGTCCGTCCGTCAGTCTGTCTGTCATGCATGAGCCTGGGTCCCAGAACAAAAACATACACACACCAGAATTCCAGCATACCTAGAGCCTCTGTCAAGTAGAATCTTGGTATCTGAATTACAATTTTCAAACTAGCTATGGTGGTACACAAATTCAATCCCAGCACTTCCAAGGCTGAAGCAGGGTGACAAGTTTGAAGCCGGCTTGAACTGGATTGTAAATTTAAGGCCATCCTGGATTACATGACAAGGAAAAAAAATTAAAAAGAGCCAACCCTGATAGCACGGGCTTGTGGCTCCAGCTACTCTTGAGACTAAAGGATAAACATACTGGGGCTGGAGAGATTGGTTAAGAACACTGGCTGTTTTTCCAAAGGTACTGAGTTCAATTCCCAGCAATCACATGATGGCTCACAACCATATGTAATGAGCTCTGCTGCCCTCTTCTGGGTGTGCAGGCCTACATGCAGGCAGAACACCATATACATAATAATAAAAATCTTTTAAAATGGTTAAAAACAAGTTCAAGGCCTATCTAGGCTACTGTGTGAATTCAATGTGAGCCTGAGCAACTCAGTGACACTTAAAACTTTTAAAGTGGGGGCTCAACAGTTGGCCCTGTGGTTCAGAGCACTTGCTAATCTTTCAGAGGATGGAGCACCCACATGGCAGCTCGCAAACATCTCTAACTCCAGGGGATCAGAGCTCCTCTTCTGCCCTTCACAGACACCAAACATACACATGGTACTGTACAGCAAACACTTATACATATAAAATTTAAAAAATAAAGCCTTTAAAGGTTTTAAAAAGTAAATAGAAGGCCATAGGACTATAGTTATAGATGGTTGTGAGCCACCAACTGGGTGCTGAGAATTGAACTCAAGACCTCTCAAAGAACAGCCAGTGCTCTTAACTTCTGAGCCATCCATCGCTCCCGTCCAGAAAAGGGGAATCTTAAAAGCACACTAAACTGTTAAACACACTAAATTAATCTACACAGTAGGAAATCGGTGCCCTGTCCTGATAAGAAGACATAATAGCAAATAAGCAAGTGGACCTTAAGGTGGAGCATCTCAGGGCTGGAGAGATGGCTTGGCATGAAAGAGCACGTGTTGCCCTTGCAGAGGACCAGGGCTCAGTTCTTAGGGCCCCCATGGCAGCTCACAACCATCTGTAGCTCCAGCTCTAGGAGACAGCTGTGGCCCTCACAGGCACCTTCACTCACATGTACATAACCCACAAGAAGCATACACAGTTATATATAACTAAATGAAGCATCTTATTTGAGCTAGATGCGGGCTACAGAGACAGATCCTGTCTAAAAGACACATGCCAGAATCCCTATAGTTTAAGCACTTAGAAAGCTAGGGTTGGACTGCTCAGCGCTTGAGGCCAGCTTGGGCTACATAGTGAATCCTTGCCTGCCCCGAAACAAACCAATAAAGAATACTTTTTTAAAATAACTTAAATCCATTACCCATTATTTATTTATTTAAAATATGCCTAAGTTTTTACTACATTAATAGTCCATAAGCTGTAAGCAATGCCTACAATTTCAGTTCATGCAGAATTAGCTCCTCTTTTCTTCTGGTTCTTGCAACAATTTCACCTTTTCTTTTAGTTCCTTCTGCTCTCTGGAATATTGTTCAAATATTGGCTGATAAATGTACATTCCTCCAGCAATTCCAAGGACGACAGCAAAAACCAGTTGTGGAAGGGTCAATCTCGCGAACATTGCTGTGGCGAGTAGCACACAATCTCAGGGTAGCTGTGCTCCACCGCAGTGAATCTCTTCAGAGCTGTTTCCAAAGAAAAAGGGACCACTTAGAGCAGCAGCCTTAAAAAGAGAAGGTTTTATTTTAATTATGGGGTTCTGGGAAGGGGTGTGCACCTGCGCAGAAAGTGTCAGAGGCCCTGGAGCAGACACTACAGGCAGTTGTAAGCTCCACAGGTGCTGGGAACTGAACTCAGGTCCTCTGGAAGGGCAGTACTCACACCCTGGGCCATGTCCCTAGCCCCACAACTGCCCTTTAAAAGACATTACTATTTTGTTCTGGTGTGAATATTTTTGTAATATTTGAGAACCACTAATAAATACAAATACACAGTGACTACAGGATAGCATATAGGCTTACCATGGAAGATTTTCTAAAATTTCAATTTAGTTGCCAATAGTTAAAATCGTATTTTATATTAAAATTTGTATTTCTTCCAGATGGTAGCACATGCCCATGTTCCCAGCACTTGGGTGCAGGCAAGAGGATCAGGAACTCAATGTCACCCTTTGGCTACACTGCCAGTTTGAGGCCAGTCTGGATTCCATTAGAGGTCTCAAACAAACGAAAAGCAAAACAAATCAACAAAAACCTTAAAAAGGAACCTGTAGGGAATGAAAATTAGAGGGTGGTTAGCAAAGCTAAATCCTCTTCTAATACAGAAAGTTCCCAGTGAGCTGTTTTGCTTTCTCTACTTGCCTGTTTGTTCTGGTTCTCTGAGATAGGCAAACTGCTCTAGGGATTCTGCCTTCACCCCTCAAATGCTAGGATGACAGGCTCATGCCACTGGTATAGCTGTTAGTCTTCTCAGTGTGTTTAAACTTTTAAATGGCAAAAGGGGGCTGGAGAGGTGACTCAGCAGCTAACAGCACTGTCTGCTCTTCCAAAGGTCCTGAATTCTATTCCCAGCAACTGCATGATGGCTCTTAACCATCTATAATGAGATCTGGTGCCTTCTTCTGGCCTGCTGGCTCACATGCAGGCAGAATACTGTCTAAATAGTAAATGAATTAAAAAAATAAAATAAAATGGCAAACTACCCTTCAAGTCATATAAAACTTTTTACTCCAAAAGATGGCCCAAAGGAAGGCAGAAGTGACTGTCTTGGTTTAAATCTTATCTAAAGAATAATGGAGGGGACAAGTGACTTCATTATTCCTTCTGCCAACAGTCATAATTTTCTTATGTGTGTGAGAGTGTATGTGCACACAAACATTGAGTCAAATTCCCTGGAACTGGAATTACACAGTTGTGAGCTGCCATGTGGGTGCTGGAAATTGGACCTGGGTCCTCTGGAAGAACAGTCAGTGCTCTTAAATACTGAGCAATCTCTCAGCCCCAGTATTCATAATTTTTTAAGCATGCTTAAAATGTGAGGCTATAAAATTTGATTGAGCCAGGAGTGGTGGTGCATTTCTTCAGTTCCCAGCACTATGGGGGACATAGGCAGGCAGAGTTCTGAGTTTGAGGGCAGCCTGGTCTACAGAGTTCCAAGCCAGCCAAGTATATGTGGTAATACTCTATCTCAAAAAAATTTTTTTGTTGTTGTTGAGTTTTGATACTTAGGAGGCATCAATTTTAAATTATCTGCATGCCTTTTTTTGGGAAAATTAGAATGGAGCTTTTGCTTATAGTTCCAACAATAATAGTGAAAACTCACAAATAAATACTGCTGCTTGTCATCCACCTCAGCATCTGGGGTCAGATGTCAGTGAATAAGGAAAGCATGAGGATTCTTTAGTTTTGTTTTGATTCTTCATTTTTGTTTTTCAAGACAGGGTTTCTCTGTGTAGCCCTGGCTGTCCTGGACTCACTCTGTAGACCAAGCTGGACTCAAACTCAAGAGATCTGCCTGCCTCTGCCTCTCGAGTGCTGGGATTACAAGCTTACTCCACCAAGCCTGGCTTCGGAACCTTTTTAAAAAAAAAAAAAAAAAAAAAAAAAAAAAAAAAAAAAACTTTTTTTTTTAAATTTTTATTTTATGTGCATTAGTGTAAAGGTGTCAGATCCCTTGGAACTGGCGTTACAGTTGTGAGCTGCCATGTGGGTGCTGGGAATTGAACCTGGGTCTTTTGGGAAGAGCAGAGGGTGCTCTTAACCACTGAGCCATCTCTCCAGCCCCTCGGATCCTTTTTTTAATTAATTACAGGTTATTTATTTTGTATCCCAGCTGTAGCCCCCTTCCTCATTCCCTCCCAATCCCACCCTCCCTCCCTCATCTCCTCCCTGCCCCTCTCTAAATCCACTGATAGGGGAGGTCCTCCTAGTTTATCAGATCTCAGGACTGGCTGCATTGTCTTCCTCTGTGGCCTCACAAGGCTGCTCCTCCCTGGGGGGAGGTCAAAGAGCCAGCCACTGAGTTCATGTCAGAGACAGTCCCTGCTGACTTCGGATTCTTAATCCAGGTCCCAGGTCACAAAAATCAGCAGCAGCTGCCTGTACTGTAAACTAACTTGCCCTTAACAGTTTTTAAGCATAATTTAAACTCCCCAGGGAGAGGAAAGCATGGTTTCTTCTAGATTATACAGTTGACCACACAAATGACTAGTTTACCAATCTTGCTTTGGTTCAATGATTAAATTTAAAAACCAAAAGCCATTTGAAACTATTTCTCATAACGAGTTTTGTTGTTTGTTCTGTTTTTTAAATCTGGGTCTTTTGAACCCCAGTTTGTTCAGATGGCTTTTTTTTTTTTTCATGAACTGAAGTTCCCAAGACAAAAATGAAACATGTTTGCTAAACATTCTAAAACAGCAAGTTGACTGATTAGAACTATTTAGAGCCTGAATGTTCCAGGCTCCAAGCCAAATTTACCATGGGCTTATCTTTAGGCCCCTAACTTGTCATTTCTTTTTAAAACTCACTTATCTGTGACCAAACGACTTCTTAACTATCAGGGAAAATCCTGGGATGAAGTAACAGGGCCCTTCCTTCCATCAGCCCAAAAGCTAAGACTGTAAACAGACGGCATCTGAGGCCATAAGCACAGACTTCTCCCGATTTTATTGCAGTCCATCTACTTGATGTTTCCACCAACGCACTCTTCAAAGATTCAGTTACGTGTATGAGTGTTCGTCTTCATGCATCTGCAACGGCATGCATGGCCCTCGGGGACACAGAGCCAGTATGTGGCCACTGGGAATAAAACCAGAATATTCTGCAAGTGCAGTCGGTACTTTTAACTGCGGAGCCATTTTTCCAGCCCCACCAACTAATTTTTTTTTTTTTAATGCCTCTATTGTTGGGCATGGTGGCAAACGCCTTTGATGCCAGATCTCTGCACTCAGGAGGCAGAGACAGCAGTTTGAGGCCAGTCTGGTCTACAGAGCGAGCTCCGGCCAGCCAGGGTTATATAGTGAGGCCCTGTGACAAAGATAAATAAATGAGGCAGAGTGTGGTGGTTCATGCATTAAATCCCAGAACTCATGAGACAGGAGGTGCGAGGCCAGCCTAATCTTCATAGTGAGCTCGACTAAAGAAAATAAATAAACTGATGAGAAGGTAGATAATTAGGGATGGAGAACCCCTTGGGGTGGTGACAAACGGATTACTAATACAAATTCATTTCATGTATAACTTTTCCCTGTCACTGTGGGAACCGTGTAAAACTATCCCCACGCGAGGGGCATGTGGGGGTCATATGGGGGTCACAGTGGTCACCCGGAAGCCGGTTCTCAGCGCCGCACTGCCTCCCTCCGCTCGGTTACCTCTGAACGCCTTCTCGGCGGGCGCTGTGCGAGGTGTCAGGCGCAGGGAAGCGTCCAGTCTTTACTTTTCTTTCCCAGCCCTGAAATCCAGGCAAGGAGCTGTGCTACTGCGTCACCGGGAGACTCAGCCGCTTCCGGCACCACTTCCGGCTGCGGTAGCGCCAGAACAGCCCCCGCGACGGCGGCCCCGGAGGACCAATCTTAGTGGCATGTGTCCGCCCGCGACGAGGTGAGGGGCGGGTTCTGTGGGCTGCGGGTGGCCGAGAGGGGATGGAGCCCGGGGCGGGCGACGAGCGCCCGGCCTTCCACGGTCTCCACAGCGGCTCGGGAGAGCTGAAGCTGCGGAAGAGGAAGCCCACGCCGTACGCGAGCGCTCAGGGTACGCGCTCCCGGCGTCGCGGTGAGTGCCGGGGGCGAGGCAGGGCACAAGGCTCCGGGCACCCGCGGGTTGGCGGTAGGAATGGGCTCAGGCGCGCTGGACAGCGTCTTCACTGTGTTGTGCAGGCTGTGCGTGGACTTGCCTCAGTCCTCCTGCCTCAGCTTCCCCAGTCACCACCACACACAGAGCCGGGGCACTGTAGGGGGAACTGCCTGACTATGCTACAATTATGCTTTGATTTGCTTTTCAGGGCTTCTTGGAGAAAACATTTATCTGGTCCTGTTCACCATTGCTTTGCGAATATTTAACTGCTTCTTGGTCCAGACAAGTTTTGTTCCAGATGAGTACTGGCAGTCTCTTGAAGTTGCACACCACATGGTTTTCAGATATCCTTTATGGTTCCTTTCACTCTGAGTGTGGGTTCATCTTAAGAGCTCAGTTCACGATTACATGTTTTCAGTATCTGAATAACTTCAGCTCAACAAAGTGTGCTGTTGTTGCAAAATGATATTTATTCTATGTCTTCCTTTGATGCTTACAGACTTGACAGAGAGAGAGGCAGAGAGAGAGAAAACACGGGCATGATGGTACATGCTAATCCCAGCACTCAGGAGACGGGGGCAGGCAGATCTCTGAGTTTGAGGCCAGCCTGGTCTACAGAGAGTAAGTTCCAGGACAGCCAGGGCAAAACAGAAAAAAACCTGTTTGGAAAAACCAAAACAACAAACAAAAAATAGACTTGACATTGCCTTAATACTATTATATATATTTATAATGATTTATAGTGAGAGGATAGAGCTAAGGTAGAAAACACAATCCCTCCCAGCATTTGAAAGGCTAAAGAAGCAAGATTGTGAGTCCTGGGCTAGCCTGGCCTACCTCTGCTCTAAAACAAATCCAGGTCCTTGGGATGGCTCAGCTAGTGAAAGCATGTGAACATGGCTGCCTCAGTTCTGTCCCTAAGACTCACATAGGGTGGACAAGGGGGCTGGAAAGATTGCTCAGTGATTAGAGCTGCTCTTAACCCCTGAAGACCAGGCTCTTGCAGAGGACCAGAGTTCAGTTCTCAGCACCCATATGGACTTACACCTATCCTGGTTCTAGGGGATTTGATGGCCTCTTCTGGCCTCCATGTGTACCAGGCATGCATATGGTGCACACACACATATGTGCACATACTTACACATGAAGTTAAAAGTTTTTAAATGGAAAGAGGACCAAGTCCAAAGAGTTGTCCTCTGACTTTCACCCAACACCCATACACACACACACACACACACACACACACACACACATAACTATTATATAGTTATATTAAAAGAGAAACACTTTTAACTTGAGGAAATTAAGACTTTAGTTAACCAAATATTCAATATAAAATGTTGGGTCTTAAGGATTAGGGTGTAGCTTAGTGGTAGAGTACCATCCTAGCATATCCAAGGCCTGAGATTTAATTCCTATGACCAAAACAAAACAAAAAAACCTGTGTTTTTAAAACTGCTTTGTCAGCCAGGTATGGTGGCACATGCCTATAATCCCAGCGCTGAGAGAAGGAGAGGCAGAAGGATCCTTGTGAATTCAAGGCCAGCCTGTCTACAAAGTAAGTCTAGGACCAACGAGGCTATATAGCAAAACCCTGTCTTAAAAAACCAAACCAAAACAAAAACTTCATTGTTAAGAATAAAGAACTGAAAAAAATTAAAAAATAAAAGAAGAATACAGTACTGTTTTATATATGAAAATATAAATTAATTTGCTTCAATACTATATTTGACATTTAATCCTTAATATTATTAAGTATGGTTATTTGACCTGGGAATGGACAGAGAGATTGAGGGGTTACACTTACCCTTTAATCTTTGCAAGCATCTACAAGGTTCTGCATCTTTTGGGGAAAGACAGTGTTCAATTACTGGTAAGTTTAAATCAAAATGACCAAAATTGTTGTTAAATTCAGATTTACTCCTTTTTCAAAAGTTAATCAGTAATAACTGAATGACTTTCCGAGTATCACAAAATTTGTGTTTTAGAAGTCTACTGTTGCTCAAGTCCAGCCTTATCTGGGAAGCCCACTGTACAAAAGACACTATGATGTAGAGCTCTTCAATATATTTTTAAAATAAGTAAAATTAAAATTTAAATAAAAAGATAAATAAATAAAAATCAGAGGCTAAACAGATGGCTCAAGGTTAAGAGCCCTTGCTCCACAATCACAAAGACCAGAGTTCAGGTCTCAGCACCCATGAAACAAGCTCAGTAATCCTGCAAACACTTGTGACTCCAGCTCTGAGGCGGTAGAGACAAGACATATTCATGGGTTGTGCTCCACCCTGCAAATAACCATGTCAGGTAGAGACCCTGCTTCAAAAGGAACAAGAAGCAGAGAAAGACATCAAACATCCTCTGGCATCCCCAGATAAAAGTGAGCGAGAAAGTCTGCTCTGAGAGTTCAGTTTAAAAACATCAAAGTAACTATCTTACATACTGCTTTGGTTCATTGCGTTTGGGGAGAAAAGTTAATATAACAAAAAGGTAATGATATGTATCACCACTGTGCTATGTAGTAAGACTTAGTTTCTAGGGTAGAGATTACCAGGGGCAATTCAGAGGGGCTGGGCACAGGACTTGAGAAAGGTCTGTGTGGTTTCACTCTTGTTTCGGGATCCTCTGGGAGAGGGGCAGGAGGGAACCAAACCCAAGTCCTTGGGCATGCCAGCAGGTTCCACTGAGGTACAACCCAGCCCTTGAGGTCTGTTAGCTGTCGTCAAGTTGGATCCAGAAGTCTGGAGTGTTTCTCTTAAGTCGGGAGAAGCCACCACCCAGTATTGCAAAGGGAGTCCAATTCTGAGGTGCTGTGTGGCGCCTAGAAAGACTGCCGTACGCATGCAGACATGCTGGTGCTGGAGGCCAGAAGAAAGGTTTCAGTCTCTGGAGCTGGTAGGCAGCGGTGAGCTACCAGGCCTGGGTGCTGGGAACCGAACCCGGGTCCTCTGAAAGAGCAGCAGTGCTCTTATCCCAGCCCAGCCAGGGATTTTAACATTTTCACTGTCAAGAGCGCATGCTGCTGTGGTATCAAGTCTACCTTGGTCTGAATCCAGGCGTCAGTGCTAGCAAGCTCCTTAGCCTTGGGAACGTTACCTAACCTCTTTGTGCCTTGGTCTCCTCAGGTATTGAATGGTACCTGTCTCGGGGGATTGCTGTAAGGGATGAGCTGATACATATAAACTATTTGACACCCAGCACAAAGTACTGCTAAGTGCTTCACTTAAAAACAAAACCTATTATATGCTCACAAAAATAAATATGCCTCTGAAATAGACTCTTAACACAATAAAATGGTTTGGAAGCTGTTTAAGTGTAGCTCAATGGTAGAACACTTGCCTAGTCGTCATGTGGCCCTAGGTTCAATCCCTACTATTACAAAAGATAAATAATTAGTACTGTAAGATATACATAAATGTAAGAATGGGTAGATGGGGTATGGTGCTTCACACCTGTAAATCGCAATACTTGGGGGTGTTCAGGCATGAAAAACAAAGACAAAGCTAGCGGGGCTACTTAGCAAAGTCTTCCCAAAAGACAGCAGGGACAGAGAGAGAGAGGACAGTGGAAGGGAGGGAACGAGAGCCAGAAAGCTAAGCACACACAGGAAGCATATGAATGAGCAGGAGATGGAAAGAGGGTTTTCTGTTAATGTTTTTTTCTTTTCATGGCAATTCAGTATGAACCAGGGAGATGTGCTTACCAACCCTTTTTCTTTTTAACTAATGAAGATCTGGATTCCCAGACTTGGCCAGGCTCTTCTGTCTGCTGTGGCAGATGTGAGGCTTTATTCGCTCACGAAGCAGCTGGAGACTCAGGAAGTGGCACGATGGGTGGTGAGTCCAAACACTCTAGACGCAGCGTGATAGAGAACATGCGTGGGGCAACTGCTTCCTACGGCAGTGGATCCCAAGAACCTCCTGGGAATTCTGCCATAATTAGAAACAGTAAAGTCCGAATGGAGCACGCCAGCTCCTGATTGAGCCCCAAATGGGACAGGCTGAACCCCAGGAGCCACCCACGGAAGCCCTTGGGTCCCTAAACAGTTAGGGTCCTCCTCTCTCTCCTTAGTCTTTGGACACCCTGAAGCTGCTTTTACAGCCCGTGTTCCCTGTCCCTGTCCCTAGCCCTGAGGCTCGGCGAGAAATCCGCTGCACTGAGGCACAGCCCTAGCTGGAATGCCTCAAGAAACGGGGCTCGTGTCAGGGAGGGCATGCCCAGAAGAGCATCTTGTCAGTGGCTTATTTCTTGTTGTTGGTTGTTTTTTGTTTGTTTGTTTGGTTGGTTTGGTTTCTTGAGACAGGGTCTCTCTACATAGCCCTAGCTATCCTAGAACTCACTATGTAGACCAGGCTGGCCTCACCCTCACAGAGATCCTCTTGCCTCTGCCTCCCGAGTACTGGGATTAAAGGCATGGGCAGCTGGTTCACTTCAAGATGGGCTACCAACGATTGCATCTCCCAGTCAGACTATACCCCAGTGGATGACTGGATTTCACGGAACTACTATTGTTTACTTGACTCTGCCCCACATGAACCGTTTACTTATCTACTGATTGTATTGTTTCTATCAGGAAATACATTCTAAGCTCCAAACTGCCCACTCACCAATATATTTCTAGAACATGATGTATTAGTAACCTGGAGAAAGGGCCTATTTGTGCAGACATTGGATTCTTTTATAGTTTAAGAGGTGATTTATTTTCTGTGTCTGTATGTGGTACCCATGGAAACCAGAAGAGGACGTGGGATCCCCTGCAGCTGAAGTTACAGGAGTGAGCCATTTGCGGGGTGCTGGGGCCTGAATGCCTGTCCTCTCATAGAGCAGTAAGTGCTCTTAGCGCCCTGGTTTGTTTTGTTAACATTGTAAAAAGAAAATTAGTTAGCGATTAAGTTCTTGTTAATTGATTCAGACACAGTCAGCTCCATGGCCACTATCTACTTTGTTTTTATGTTTTATATACATTGCCAAACGTGCACATAAAATGGTAGCAAATATCACAGTCTACCTTTGAGATCTTCCTTCCGAGTTCTTCTTAAGGAAAAATCTTTCTGTCATGAAAATGCGAATCTTTTTAAAAGTCCTAGTAGGACAGTCAGGAAGCCATGTGTTGCTTCAACAAGGAGTTCCTTCTAAGACATGCTTGTGTAGACTTCTGATACTTTTGTTTTCATTTCTTCGAGAAAACTGAATTTTACTTAGTTTTCAAATTGAAACTTAATGCCACCTGATACATCCTCTCTTAATTTTTCACCAAGAAATATGGAAGCCAGGGCAAAAACTATAGCTCAGTAGTAGAACATCTGGCCTCCCATATTTGAAGCCCTACCTACTCCCCCGCCAAAAAAGGAAAAAAATAATGGGATGCTGACTAGTTCAATACTAACTTGTGCTACATAGCAACTTCCAGGTCAGTCTTTGCTATATAGCAAAATTCTAACCCTTAAAAATAAAAAATTATATATACATATACATCTGTGTGTATATATATGCCCCTGAAAGCAGCATGTGTATGTGTGTCTAAAAGGAGAAAGAAGCTGAAATAGGACAGCCTTTCCAAAGCAGTCAGTAGATGCTCAGATAGCTGATTCCAGACCACTGAGTTGGAGGTGGAACACTGGCTGGCTGATCTGGTGAGAAGTGTCAATACTCTGTAAACTCCCTCCACTCTCAGTGTCTGTATTTTGGATATTTCATTAACAAGAAGTAAGAGTTAGTCAGGTGCAAACCACCCAGAAGCCCCTGAAAGCACTACCGACTTAACAAATGAAAATCTGCCATCAGAGCCTTGTGTGGCATGGGTTAAGAACAGTGTCTGGCCGTGTCTGCATGTACAACATTTCCCCTTTGATGTGGCTTCCGCAGCATCTGGGCCCATGCGTTCTATGGAAGATAACGTCCAGCTTCCCATTTCCTGCCACAGCTATACTCACTCCTGACTTCTTAGTTTTTTTGCCAGCTGTGTTCTTGGTTCACATGGTACTGTTGTACCCGAACCCTCACAAACACCATGGAGACTGCTCTCACAGCAATTGCTCTTTTCTACTATCCTCTTGAAGGCTCAAGGTCCATGAACAGGTAAGACGGCTGTTACTAAGTCCAGACAAAACTCTAAAATGTGCTTTTGAAAAACTATGCATATCAAAAAAGTCCCCCAAGTGTTCATGGGACTTAGAAACAAAGGTTTTTGATGAGTATAACATGAAATGGAGAACAGTCCCACTGCATGGTGAATCCAGTAAAAAGGGCTGGTTACAAAGTGGAGACTATGCTTAGGACATCCTGTAGTACCCAGAGCTCACTGAAGCAGCAGTCTATTATCAGTGGACTCCAAAGGACTAGAAGAAGAGTACTGGGATCCTTGTAAAGCTTTGCTTGAAGGGTCTCCACGGGAGACAGCCAGGGCTAGCCTTTACCAATGGCTAGAAGTCGGCCAGGAGAATAAATGCTCCTCACTCATGCTGTGACTGCCTTCCCTTGCCCTAGAGCAAGCAGAAGCAAGGTAGGCCTAGCGTGTCCCTGCAGGTCCACTCAACAGCAGGGGGAGCAGATCTGAACAGTAAGAAAACCCAGACCCAGCAGCAAGAAAGCCCTGAGCAGAAGCAGGCAGCAGAGACAGCACAGGCGCTAGGTAGCTGGTGTGGGGAGCAAGTGTGTGGAAGAGAGGAGGGGACAAGGGGGAGGCTGGGATGGGACCAAGCCCTTCTCCACACTGTGGGTTTTATTCTGTTTCAAAAGGATGTGCTAAAAGCTGGGTATGCTGGCATGCACCGTTAGTCCCAGCACTTAGGGAGGCAGAGGCAGGCAGATCTCTGAGATTTGTCTAGCAAGTCCCAGGAGAGCCAGGGCAACATAAGAGAGAGAGCCCTGCCTCAAAAAAAAAAAAAAAAAAGCCTAAACGAAAAGGGATAGTGTATATTTCCTGTTCCTACACAAAGATCTTTTGAATAAAATTATTTATTCTTTATTTTTAAAGACAGGACATGTTTGTATGCATCTTTCAGATGAGTAGAATTTACTTAATTTTGAAAAAACAAAAAATAAACAAAACAAAACAAAAACCTTCCTCCTTGTGAGTGGTGCTGGGGTCAGACCCAGGGCCTTGCATGCTCTTCCATTAGGCTACATCTGCTTTACAAGGTTGTATATGCTCAGAAGGCCATCACTGCATAAATAATGGTATTTCCTTAAACGTCTGTATTTTCTTCTTAGAGAAAGGATTTGTGGGTTTTTTTCTTTTTAAGTACAGCTGATTAGGAAAACATTTATTGTTTTTCTGTCAAGAAAGCAGCATTAAAGCTTAGTGTGTTTTTAACATGTACGGTTAGTATTGAGAGGTGGCTGCTCCTCACTGAGACATGGCAACACAGCCCTAGAACCCGAGCACCTGGGAGGCTGAGAAGGAGGGTTGAGAGCATGAAGTGAGCTTGAGCTATATAAGACAGACCCTGTCTCAAAAGCCCCCAAAGCAAAGTTCTCTCACAGTGAAAATAGCCGACCAACTTCAAGCTCAGTTTCCCAGTTTCCCTGTAACAACTTTCCCTTGCTCCTAGTGTCAAGTACTCGCTCCTGGTTGCACTTGCTTGCATAGTCCGCCCCACAGCGCTTATCCCGTGGGTGCCATTACTCCTCAGACACTTCTGCCAAGAAAAGAGCAAGCTCCACCTGACTCTGCATCATTTCCTACCTGTAGGGTAAGTCTGCCTGTGCTGTCATCCAAACATCTTACTAACCTGTGGACGACAAGCCTCTGAGGAAGATTTTGTATCTTTCAGCTGATTACTGTATCTAATGTCACAGGAAGCTTCCAACTTTGTGTTTTCCATTTTTTTTTTTCCTGTTATGAAGAGATTTATTGCATGGGAATGGGGAGAGAGAGACAGAGAGTGGGAGAGCGTAGAAGAGAAATAGGAGGCTGGTGGGGAAAGAACAGGGAGCGGGAGAGACACCAAGGCAGAGAACACAAGAGAGGAGAGAGAAGTAGTTTCCATTTTTTAAACACTAGTGTGTATATAAACTCTGAAAGGCATATGGGGAGGTCACAGTACAACTTCTGTCAAGGTGGTTCTTTCAGCATTTGTTTCAGGAATTGAATTCAGGTTGTCAGGCTTTTGTGGCAAGCTCCTTTACCCACTGAGCCATTTTGTTGGCCCAGTATTCTATTTTAGATGTCTAGATTTATGAGACTTATTAACTGTATTATACTTCAGTTGAACAAAGGTGTCTATTTCTTAGAATTTCCACATTTCCTAAAATTTTCTATTGTGTTTGTATAGGACCTAATAACAGTTTTGTTCATATGAGCTCATGTTGTTCTTAGATTTAACTTAGGCTATTCTTATTTTATGGTAAGAAGAAGCATGGAGAAATTTAAAATTAGCAAAGCCAGTGAGCTGATGAGTGATGAAACAGAAACTGTAAATATATGATGCCTAGCACAGCATCTAGTAGGATATCCAAACTACCTTCTGAGCCAGTGAGTGTACCTTGCCCATCAGAGCATGAGGTCTGTTGTCTGCCTCAGCCTTCTGGGTAGCTAGGATCACAGACAGCTATAGGAGGTCTGGCCTCTAGGGCAGTGGCACGTACTGAGCCAGCTCCTAGTGCTCTGGCTTTTGAGGGAAAAGACTGAAGATCTCCAGAGAGAAAAAGTGTTAGGATGATGTACAATGACTAAGGTGACTCAAAATAGTGCAGAGAAAAGCACTTAGGCCAGGGGAAGATTAGGTCCACAAACAGAAAATCATTTCTCTTCTTTCTTGTTTGTTTGTTTGTTTGTTTGTTTGTTTTTGAGACAATCTCACTATGTAGCCCAGGCCTGCCTCTACTTCCTGAATGCTGGCATTAAAGATGTGTACCAAAAGGCCTGGCCTGTTTTGTTTTGTTTATGAGACAGCCTTACCACAAAGCCTTGGCTGACCTGGAATTTGCTATGTGAACCAGGCTGGCCTTGAACCCTTTCCTTCCTTCCTTAAGTGTCCCAAGTTCTTGAATAATGGCCTTGAACCATTATTGAACCATGCCTAACTAACTTAGAAAAAAAAATGTTGAACCTACTTCTTACCATGAGCTAGAAGAAAATGTCCAAGAAAAGCATATATCCCACCGTGAAGGTAAAAAGCAGTGCCTGTGCCAGGTCAGACAGACCCCTGAGCAGAGTGCCCAGAGAGCAGAAAACTTTGGGAAAGATCCATTTGAGTAGTTAAGGGCCTTTACCACTGACTCAATGACAGACCATTCACATGCTGACCCCAACTGCACAGAACAAAAACAAAAGTTAGGGGCAGTTTTGAGATCACTGTAAAGAGAGTAGAAGAGCAAACTGCAGACCAAATGGCATCTCCAACACACACGGCCAGTCAAGCCTCCTGTCCAGGAAGGACACAAACATGGAAAACTCTTAAGAAAGGGGTGACTGGAAACAAATCATAAAAGACCCCGTCAGCTACTTCAAAAATATCCAGTTTGAGAGCTGGAGTCACAGTGGTTTAACAAAACAAAACAAAAACACTTGTTGCTCCTGCAGAGACCCAGGGTTAGTTTCCCAGCACCCACATGGACTCATAACTGTCCTTAACTTCAGTTTCAGGGCCTCCAGCACCCTCTTTTAACCTTTGAGGGCACCAGCCACATATGTGGTACACATACATATATGCACAAAAAACACTAATACACGTAAATAAATAAATAAATAAATGAATGAATGAACGAATAAATAAACAAACAAACAAACTATCTAGGTGGCCACTAAGTTTAAAGGTATTCCTCTTACAGGATGTGGCCCACACTTTTAACCACAGCACTTATGAGGCAGAAGCAGTTGGATCTCTGTGAGTTCTAGGCCAGCCAGGGTTACATGGTGAGACTCAATCTCAAACCATAAATATACTCAGCTGCACTCAATGGCTCAGTGCTTGTTCCCTGTACAAGGCCTTGGGCTCAGTACATTTCAAGAGACAAATCATATAAAATATCCTTTATAATCACAATGGAATGAAGTTACATAATTAAACAAAAAGGTAAGTATGCAAAAGCTAAAAAGACACATTCATGACTTGCAGTTCCAAGAAGAAATCACAAGATAGAAATGAGACACTATCATTCAGGAGGCTGAGATGGGAGAGAAAAGTTCAGGCTGCCAGCAACACTTACAACAAACAACAAAAACAAAAACCCAGAGCCTGTTCCGCCTCCTTACATTTCCTTTTCCTTAACGGCTGAATAGTGTGGATGCTGTTGTTTTGGGTTTTGTCTTATCTTGGATTGTGCCCTGGTTGCTCTCTTTAAGTTTAGTTATTCTAATTCATTTTCTTACCTAATAAAATCATAGTCATCCTGTAACCTAAAGATCTCAATACCATCTACCCACTGTAAAATGATAACATTTTGGAAGACACAATTTTTAACAACTGATTGCTTATCCTAGCAATATGTCTACTCAACAAAACTACACATTGTGGGCACTTAAACTTGTATGATTTGGCCCAGCATAGTGGCATATACTTTTAATCCCAGCACTCAGGAGGCAGAGCCAGGTGGATCTCTTATGTCTGAAGCCAACCACTCTATAGGACCACCAAAACTACACAGAGAGACCTTGTCTCAAAGAAAAAAACAAATGAAAACAAAATTATACAGCTGTGTCTCCTTGTTAGCTCTCTGTTGGTGTGATAAAACACTGACCAAAACCAACTTGGGGAAAAAAGGGTTGATTACCGCTGACAAGTCATATCCATCACTCAAGGGAGGCCAAGGCAGAAACCTGGAGGGAGGAGCTGAAGAAGGGAAACCTCGGAGGAGTGCTGCTTCCTGGCTTCCTCTGGCCTGCTCAGCTACCTTTCTTACACAGCCTAGGCCTGTGGGCCCAGGGGTGGCTCTGCCCACAGTGGGCTGGGCACTAGCACATCAATTAAAAATTAAGAAAATGCCACACAGATTGGCCATAGGACCATTTGATGGAGACAGTTCCTCTACCGGTGTTCTCTCAGGTATGAAAAGTTGACAGTTGATGGGAACTATGACATTGTCTATAAAAAACAAACAAACAAAAACAGAGTATCCTAATACAGGAAAAAAGCAGTGTGATAGTTACACACATAGCATTGTAAGGGCATGAACTGCAGCACAAACACAGGCAGGCAGCCCAGGCTTAGAAGCATGGGGACAGTGAAGCTGCCAGCAGCCCTGTAAGCTGCGAAGCTGATCTCGTGTAATATACTTAGAGCCACAGGCACTCAGTCAATTGCAGTTGGAACTTTTTAAAGCCTAGGAACTTCAAAATAATGAGTATTCGTATTTTTATGTTGACAGGTTATCTATCCAAGAATAGATAAAGTAGTGGGTTTTTTTAAACTTTGCTTAAGAGCATCTTTTCATCAGTGAAAGATATTTCAGAATGTATGAACCCACAGTTGGTGAACTTGTAAAGCATTTTTAAAGTGGTGTTTGATACAAGGCATTGGACTGGAATTCAGCAGGTTCAAATGTGAGTTATCATTCTACTTTGTTTTTCAGATTTATAACCTTCAGTTTGTCTCTGATAATTGATCGTATCTTTTTTGGCCAAGTAAGTAAGAATAGATTAAGCTAAAGGTTATCTATTTTAACCATTTACTGCTCTGAAACCTCAAGCTGGACTTTTAATGCTTTTGTATATCAGTCTGGGTGTGATGACACATGCCTGGTCTCGCACCTGTAATCTCACACTAGGGGGGCAGGAGGCTCAAGTGGTCAACATTATCCCTAGCTGCATAGATAAAGTCAAATTGGGCTACAAGAAACCCTATATCAGACCACAAGTAGACCCCATTAATACTTTGGAACAGGGGAAAGTCTTTTTTTTTTTTTTTTTTTTTGAGATAGTTTTTCTGTGTAGCGTTGGCTGTCCTGGAACTTGCTCTGCAGACCAGACTGGCCTCAGACTCAGAGATCTGCCTGCCTCTTCCTCCTGAGTGTGGGGATGAAAGGCATGCATCACCACTGCCCAGCTGAGAAGTCTTTTTATAGTTATAATGAATCCATTTAATCACCAGAGGAGCGTGCTTCAGCTTCAGGGTCCTCTGCTGTGGTCTCCACAGCGCACTTCTTGATGTGTAATGATTTTGACTCTTAATCATCCAGAAATCCTGTCAACCAAAATACTCTGTCCTTCAGTCATTTGGTTTGCAATACGGGCTCCCTAACTGTGGGTCGGAGCCTTCCCCTGCCTTATATTCAGCCCCTAAAGGCACATGCAGTACTGAAGTCACAACTTTACAGCTTAAAAGGTTCACTGTTAGCTGTGAGATCCTGGCAAGCCTCATGCCTTTGCTGCCATACCTTATCTAGAAATTACTGTGGCTCCTATCTCCTAAGTAAAGTAAGCAAAGCTTGGTTATATGAGGTGCTACATACAAAATTCTCACAGTAGCTCTGGCTATAAGTGAGCATTTCAGATACTTATCAGACCCAGCAGCGGTGGTACACGCTTTTAATCCCAGCACTAGAAGAGGCAGAGGAAGGCGACCTCTGAGTTTGGGGCCAGCCTGGTTTACAGAATGAGTTCCAGGAGAGCTAAGGCTACCCAAAGAAACAAACCAGAACAAACAAACAAACAAAAAAAGAAAGATACTTATTTGGAGTTATTCTCATTGCTGTCATTAGTATCTGCTTTGTGCTAAAATTCAAGTTGAAACACTGTCAGTATTTTACTGTAGTAGGTAAAGACTGACATCATAAGACAGCAGAATAGAACTGTGTCTATGGGTGCCACACACGCACTCTAATAAGTCATTTTAAAAGCAGGGTGTAGTGGCTTAAGCCTCTAACTATAGCACTCAGGAGGAGGCAGGAAAAACACATCTCTAGGCTAGCCTGGTCTACAAGGAAAGTTCTTGGCCAGCCAGGATATCATGAAACACTGTCTAAAGCAATAGATTTTACAAATATTTTTAAGAATTCATTTCTTTTTAACTCTTTATTATTTGTATACATGTCTGGAAGGATGTTCGGAGGTGAAAGGACAACTTTGTGGAATAGGCTTTCTCTTTCTACCTTTACACGGGTTCCAGGGATCCAACCCGGGTCATCTGGCTTACATCACTGGTTGCCAAGGGCTTTTATCTACTGAGCTATCTCACTGTCCCCAGAACAATGGAGTTTTGTTTGTTTTTTTCTTTAAAGACAGGGTTTCTCTGTGTAGCCCTAGCTGTCCTAGCTAGCCACCACACCTGGCTGTAACAACTGATTTTTAAAATCCCATGTTGGACCCGGAAAGATGCCTCAGCAGTGAGGAACAAATACTGCTCTTACAGAGGACCAGCGCTGGAATTCCAGCTACAAGGAGTTGGATACCTTCTCACCTCCAAGCTATTGGGCACTAGGGTGAGCTCTTAAGTGTGTAGGTGCACGTACTCACACACACACACACACACAAACACACTCACTTATACATACGTATATACATACACACATATACATAATTAAAAGAATCAATTAAAAAATTTCAATTTTTTAATCAATTAAAATTTTCTCTTGGCCCGCACATGATGGTGCACACCTTTAATTTCAGCACTTGGGAGGCAGAGGCACTGGATCTCTGAGTTGGAGGCCAGCTTAGTCCACAGAAAGAATTCAGAATAGCCAGAAACAGAAAACCCGTTTGGAAAACCCAAAAACAAAACAACAACAACAAAAAAACCCTCTTCAGTTTTATAAAACTTGCAGTTTTATATCCATACCAAATACATACCAAAATATGTATTACTTATAATTTTTGAGCTTCATCTTAAACCTTAAAAACCTAAAATTTTACAAATTAATAAGATATATCATTCATAAGAGATACATCGTCTTAGAAAAACAAGTTATTAATCAGGGCAGTGGTGGCCCATGCCTTTAATCTCAGCACTAGAGAGGCAGAGGCAGGTGGATTTCTGAATTACAGCCAGCCTGGTCTAGCAAATTCCAGGACAGCCCTATACAGAGAAACCCTGTCTAGGGGTTTGGGCAGGGGGCAGGCAAGTTATTAACAAGATTTCATGTCATTACTCAAAAGACTGATTTTAAGATTAAATTCCTATTTAATATCATGATTCTGTCAAATACTGTAAGGCCTAAGATCAGTTTTTGACACTAACCTATTTCTTATTTTTTTTTCTTTTACTTTATGCCAGTGGACATTGGTCCAACTTAATTTTTTGAAATTTAACGTGCTGCAGAATTTGGGGACGTTTTATGGCTCTCATCCATGGCACTGGTACTTCAGTCAAGGGTTTCCAGTTGTCCTGGGAACTCACTTACCCTTCTTCATTCACGGCTGCTTCCTGGCCCCAAGAAGGCTCCACATACTACTGCTGACCGTGCTGTGGACACTGCTGGTGTACAGGCAAGACTCCGTTCACGCAGGGGGGGGAGGGGGCGTTGAAACGTTACTAAGAGATGATGAAGCTGCTCAGAGGCAAGCTCTTACTTTCTTAGGATACAGCAATAGAGATTATATCAGATGAAAGTAATTACGTGGTGGCCAGACAGTGACAATTTAGACCTATTCACACTTCTGTCTAACCGAAATAAAAATGAGGAAGTGGTAGGATGGCTCAGCAGGTAGAGGCACTTACCACCATGCCTGTCACTATGAGCAATGTCCAGGATCTGCATGGTAGAAGGAGACAGCTGAGTCCCCACACGTCCAGAGCCTCTGACCTCTGCGTGCTCACTGTGGTGTGAGCACCACATCCCCAACACTCAAACATTTAAAACATTTTTAAGGAATGTACCCTTATTCCAAATTTAAGTAGTATTAAAGATTTATTTAATGTACATGAGTGCTCTGTGGCATGCACACCTACATGCCAGAAGAGGGCACTAGATCACATTATAGATGGTGGTGAGCCACCATATGGCTGCTGGGAATTGAACTCAGGGGAACAGTGCTCTAAACCACTGAGCCATCTCTCCAGTCCTAAGAAGTATCACTTAATTGAATTGGCAATATGGTTTTTTTTTTTTTTCAAAGTGTAACTGTATATTAAATTTCACTCTGACATTCCTGTTTAAACACATAATCACATTCTGTCTAAAAGTGTGATTCTGAAGCTGGGCCCTGTGGTGCATGCCTGTAATCCCAGGACTCTGGGAGGCAGAAGCAGGTGAACTCTGTAAGCTTGAGGACAGGCAGGTCTATGAAGCAAGTCCAGGACAGCTAAGGCTACACAGAGAAAACCTGTCTCAAAAAAAAAAAAAAAAAAAAGTGTGAGTCTGAAGCCAGGCACGGTGAAATGCCTGTAATGTCAGCAGTATGGGCTAAAGCAGGAATTGTCAAGAGTTTGAGGCCAGTGTGAGCTATGATTGAAAAACAGTTATCCATAAAAAAATAACAAGGGAATTCAATCTCAGATACTTGAAAAACAGATCATATAGTTTAAATACATTACTCTCATACTCATGTAAAATTAATGTTTTGTCTTAATATCCTTTATTATAGCATGTTGGGCCACAAAGAATTCAGGTTTATCTATCCCGTTTTACCGTTCTGCATGGTGTTCTGTGGTAAGTGTTTTTAATACAGAATACATTTTAGAAAAAATAGCTGGAAGCAGCAGACATGGAACCACTGGGTCAGCCCAAAGTCAAGGGCAGCCTAGACTTTGATAGCAAGAAGATCCTGTCTCAAAACAGCAGTAAAACATGAAGAGACAGTCAAGTGTCCAAAGAGCTGTTTCTTTCCAACTAGGCTGAATGAAAACTTTCCTAATTACAAACTGCTGCGTTAGGCGTTTTCTTTTCATAATCGAATGATCTGTGGGTGTCTGCTGTCTGGTTGTGGGGTCGGGGCTGACTTAGACCTCACTCTGCACCCGGCCTTGAACTCCAGGGCCATCCTCCTGCCTCCGCCTACCAAGTGCCGAGACTACAGATGTGAACCACTTTTGCCTGGCTCCTACATGTCTTTTTTTCTCCTGTGATAGTAAGATAAAATAAGGCTCCACCTGCCAGTCCACTTTTTTGCCAGGGTAGGAGATGACACAGTCTGGCTGGCCGGAAACATCTATGTTGCAGTCTCATGTCATCCAGGCTGGCCTTGAGCAACAGATTATCCTGCCATAGCCCATCCCCACCAGTGATGGGGTGACAGGCTTGCTGCACCATGCAGCTTTCCTAGCAATCAGAGCCTCTCCTGACACCTCAAATCTAAGCCTGATTCCACTGTGTACTATTTTAGCCTGATTTCATATTGTAAGTACGGCCTCTGCTGCATAACTGGTGGCTTTCAAAGCCATTTATTCTTACTAGCCACATCTCAGACGTGCTCACTGGCGCTCACTGGACAGAGCACTGGACCTAGGGAAGGCTCTAGATCTATGGCCTTAACCAGCAATCCTTTGTCCTCGGCTGCCCGAGTGCCTGAGTGCAGACAGGTGCCACTTTCCCTGACCTGTTGGTTTAGAACAGAGTCCGTCTTGAAGCAGTGCAGGTTAAGACGTGGTTCAGCCTTGCCCTCCCCCTTCCCGCCCTGGTTCTCCAGCTAAATAAACTGCCCCTTCCTTCTCTAATGTAAACACTGAAGCTGAATGCCCTAACAGCCTTCCCAGCAATGTTTAGAAATGTCAAGGTTAACATGCATCCTTCTCATGTGCCACCACTGCCCAGCAACCGTGGGTTTGTTTCAGAAGTCCTCGTCACTGTGCAGCACAAGAGATGACTTACTAAGTGAAGGCTCGGATCTCCACTATGTGAACCACCCCGCTAAATCGTTGCTGGAGGAGACAGGTTGTCATGGGACACAACAAAACCTAGATCCTGTGCATAGTCTGATAGCTAGTCCACTTGTCAGCATGGTAGCACATGACTGTAATCCTGGTACTTGAGAGGGTGAGCTATGAGGATCTTGAGTTTGAGGCCAGCCAAACACAGTAAAACCCCATCTGAACACTACCACCACCACCACCACCACCAACACACACACACACACACACACACACACACACACACACACACACACACACACACACACACACAGCTAGCTCGCCTAGAGCAGTTTGTGTCTTATGGGTGAGATGGAAGCCAGGCAAGCATTCTGGCACTTAGCTACATCTCAGCACCACACTTGGAGCAGGCAAGAGGAGCAAAGTAGGCACTCAGAGTGATGTTTAGAAGAGCTGCACTCCCTATTACATACAACTAAAAACGTCCACTAGGTGGTGGGATCTAACTGGGTATGACTGAACAGGCAGTCCTGCTCCCTGTAAGAAAATCACAGATCTTAGTCCAGACTGGCCGTAACTGTCTTTCCAACTGTCCCTGGGATCATTCAAATTTCAGAAATCCCCTTGGAACTCTTAGGACGTCAGATGCCCTCAAGCTAAAACTGGACATCTGTAACCCACACACCTTCAATTCACTAGAAAAGGCTAGACTCTGCCTTCGAGTACAATGGTAGCGAGTGGTCAGAGTTGACTTGCTGCCTATGTATCTGTCACACGGTACCACAGCCTATACTGTTTGCATGGAAAATTACATACAAACGCCTGCTGATAAGAGAAAGGAAGACTGCCCCTGCTCCCCTTCTTTCTACCTATCTTATCTCCGTGCAGGATACTCACTAGCCCACCTGAAAGCATGGAGGAGGGCAGCTCTGAGTTTTCTGCTTTTGTCAAATGCGCTGCTGGCCCTCTACACTGGCTTAGTTCATCAGAGAGGCACTCTGGATGTCATGAATCACATTCAGAGATTCTGCTCTGGAGGTCCTGCCCCAGCGTCAGTCTCGGTGTTCATGATGATGCCCTGCCACTCCACTCCTTACTACAGGTGAGGAAGGTGGTTCTGCCCCGGGTCCCACTTGTTCAAGGTCAGCCTGAAACAATAATGGAAACTTGGGGTGTTTTAACTATTTTGACCTTTCTTCCGTAGCCATGTTCACTGCCCACTGTCCATGCGGTTTCTCCAGTGTCCCCCAGACTTGACTGGAAAAACTCAGTATCTTGATGAAGCAGCTATGTTCTACCTAAATCCCGTAAGCTGGCTACAGCAAGAGTTTCACAGCAATGTGTCACTCCCCACTCACTTGGTCACCTTCAATGTTCTGGAGAAGGTATGTCAACTTGATGTAGCCAAGTCAGCATTTTCACTGGATTGGCAATCATCTGCTTTACCATCCCTTTTATCCCCTATATGAATTACCCGCATGGTGGCTGGTGGGGCGGGTGGGAGCAGTTCCCTAGTTGCAGCTACAGTGGAGGAACGTGAGCCTGCCTGGTTTGTGGAACAGCATGTAAAAAAAGGGCAACATCCTGGTTTGGTTTGCTCTCCCCACGGTTCAGTCAATGCCTCCTCTTGTCCCTTTCCACTTCATTTTTTGGGCCTGGTCTAACAAACAGAAGTGGCTTACCAGCAGCCCCCAGAATCTAATCTCTGTCCCCACTCCAGTGACCCAGTGTGTTAGGGTTACCACCATGCCTGAGTTTATTTTTGAGACAGGGTCTCACAACGTAGCCCTGGCTGTCCTGGAACTCAAAGAAATCCACCTTGCCTTTGCCTTCCAAGTGCTAGACTAAAGATATGTGCGACCACACCCAGCTACTGTGCCCAACTTTTTATGTGATTTCTAGGAGTCCTAACTCAGATCCTCATGCTTGGTCAGCAACCATCTGACCAACTGAGGCATCTACTCTGCCCACCCTAATGGTTTCTATCTTTTATTGGGGTGGGGGGGGAGGTTAAGACATGGTTTCTCTGTGTAGCCCTGACTGTCCTGGAACTAGTCTGTAGAGCAGACTGGCCTGGAACTCGGAGGTTCACAGCTTCTTCCTCCCAAGTGCTGGGATTAATGGCATGGGCCACTACTGCCCAAATGGTTTCTTAATCCAGCTCAAATGGTTTCTTAATCCAGTAGACAAAATTACATAATTACTACCACTGTTCTGTAATTGGTCTTTTCCCCAGTAAAATCAACGCTAGTTCTGTAACTTGTTAGGTATATTTAACTACCAGAAGTCATTCCTTTAACCAGAATCTTGTTTCATGAAAGAAAAAAAGTCATACACACAAACAGTTATGATTGGCAACTCTTGATGTTCCTTGAAACCACATCGGGCAAACGTGCCTTTATTTACTTGTAGGAGATCCGTGCCTTCCTCGCTTCAGGGAGCTATAAGAGGACTGCTATTTTCTTCCACACTCACTGGCCAGAGGGTCGGACTGGAAGCCACATACATGTCTACGAACGAAGGTTAACCAGCAGAGTCAACACAGGAGGAGCTCAACTGTGAGGACTTCTGCGGAGAAGTTGGCCCAACTGAGGGAAACTGCAGATGATTCGTCGAGTAAGGACGCCGCCCCTAGGGACAGCTGCACCACCTACTGTACTAAGGCATTCTTAGCAAGCACTAACGCGACGCCAGATTGGAAAGAGACCCTTAGTTTTCCTCATGGTGCAGTTTATTGTTTCTTCCATAACATTCAGGTGTGCAAGAGTTCACAAGAACAAGCCAGCAAGCTCTTCACAAGCCAACAGGCTCTTGAACCCACAGAGACAAAAGCATGAGAGTAGAAAGTGTTAGAGCAGGGTCCCGTCTCAGCCAGTCCTCAAGCCCTACCGCTCGCCTAAAGATGGCACACACTGTACTGGCTGAGCTTAAGCTCAGCTACTCAAACCAAGCCTTATTCATGCACAGAATGTTTCATGCCTGACTTCCTTAATAAAACTACCTTTTTTTTTTTTTTCCAGAGCAAAAAAAAAATTTTTTTTTGTTTTTAACAAACCTAAGCTACAGGAAAATGCAAGTTAGTAAGCTTTACTTTTGTATAATATAAAGACAGTCATGAGGATTTCATCTTAATTTCAACACCAAAGTAGAAAGCATCCACATCTCTTAATTTAACTTAATCGTGAATCAGTATTTAGGATCAAAAGGTAACCGCCCCAGCTCTATCTCAAGATTTGCCGTGTGTCTTCCATTAGCGCGACCGTATTTATGCCATTTACCTTCCCTTTTATAAGGCTGTGGATGAAGGTGCTTCTGCTCTTGTTTTCGGTGCCTGGAGTTTTCAATATTTACCATACGTTGCTTTTTATCAGGTCGACTGAAAGTAGTAAACACATTTTTTAATCTACGTTAGAGTTCAGTTTTCTAAAAGTAAAAATAACTTAGTTTTTCTCCATTAATCTACTATCTGAGTACTGTAAAAATATAAAACACAAATTACAATTCTATTCTAATACCAGGAAAGAGGGGAATCACTACTTTTCAACATTAAGGGGAAAAATAGACATAAAAACCCCTGCACTGGCTGGAAGGGGAAACCAAACCAGTGAGGAACAGGAATGTGACAATAAAATAATGAGATGTTTCCGTTACTAGCCCAGCAAAGACAAAAACCAGTCTCATCTCTGTCACCCCAGCCTTGCCCCTCAGCCGAGGTGCGCACCTTCATCTTGCAAAGCAAGGCAGTCCCTGACTCCCCCTTTGCGGTCAAGTGCGGCAGGCACCGCTTTCCTCCCACTGCCATCAGGCTTCTCCACTGCTTCACTCCAAGGCCACGCCAATTACCCAGAGTCCTCAGCTCTAGGCACCTGACTTGATGTCTCTGGGTTCTTGCGCTGTCATCCTGCAGTCTTTTCTTGCTTAGCAGGCTCAGGGGTCAGTGTTCCCTGCACTAAACCTTCCAATGGAGACTAACTTCAGAGTGAGCAGAGACGGCTACATAATAAATGTCAACAGTTACCTCCAAAACCAATTCACTTCTGCGTCTCCTTCCTTAGAACCTTCTTCTGGTAGTCTATGAGTAATATCAATAGCTAACAGCGAAGTCATCCCAGATATGCGCACATCACTTGCTTTCCACTTCCCTTACACAGGACCTACCTGTTTCACTCTATGAGTTGTTTAAAATGCATCTTGCCTGTTCCTTACCACCTCTGCTACCCTCAGATTCTCATCAGCTTGTCATGTGCAGAGCACCCCAGCTGGCCTCAGGCCTTCCAATCAACTCTCCTGGCTGCTGCCAGTCAGCTAAAGAGCTAGGCACCATCGTCCCACCCAGTGACAAAATCCTTCAGAAAATCTCCATCTCACAAGACAGACACTTCAGGAAACAGAGACCTTCCTGATTTAACCCCCTGCTCACCTGTTTCTGTAAAGCCGTATGTCTTCATTTTTCCACACCTTTGCAAATGACCTTCCATTCCAGGGAGATGCCCACCCCTATTCACGCACTAACCCTCACGTCCCTTCCAAAAGCTCAGATGAAAGGTCACTTCAATCATGAAGCTTTTCCAAGCATCTCCAGACTGCCTGAGGCCACCGAACCTTCATGCCAGTCAGCGCACACCCAACTCCTAAACAGCGAGGGGTTGTTCAGGTTCCTCAAAGCAGCCTCCCAACACTCACTACAGCACTAGACACCTGCTTCAGGAACTAAAGACACCAGAAACCAGTCTCATTATTTTATAGGCACATTGCCTTTATTCACAGAGGTATAACTATGACTCTCAAAGGTAAACAGACATTTGGAGTTACAGAATAAAAAACTGAAGGACAACGGCCAGTTTTGAAGAACACTGGGGCTTTTTGGCTCCTAATCACCGACCTTCTCAATAATAACCCTGAAATCACGCACTACCCTAAACTATCCCCACAACCAACAATGATTATGGGGGAGGGGAAGCTCCACATAACCTGGACTTCACACTGAAATCTGTTTCTAGCTTCCTAAGTCAAAGACTGAAGGGAAATTATCTCACCTAATTATATAAACTGTTCCAAAAAAGCCAAATTGGCTCAAATAAGTTTATACATCCTTTAGTTTTTACGGTAGAAATCAATTACTTGTTCAAGTCTAAGTGATTATATAATACATGGATTTTTTTTTTCCAGTTTGCAATTGTTATTTTAAAACTGTCTTTCAATTTATTCTGAATTTCAGTGGCAATAAAGCTTGTCTCTTACAAATAGTAATCTCCTAAGAAGCTCAAAGTGTAAAAAACAAAAAACTGCTATGCAATGTACCACTGTTAGAAGCTATTATAATAACATGGTTTTATGTAAACCGACCTGGGTCCGAATGGAAGGGCGAAAAGGTGCCCAAAGTGTCTATATATATATTCATCCAGCTTCTGCAAACTGTCATCCTCTACTTGATACTCCTTTATGCCCTTAAGGTAACCTTTCACGTCATCAACAAAGTCTACGAAGAGCTTCTGGTCGTATCTAAAGACACCATTTGGGAAAAATGGACTGATGAACTGATCCAGTTCTTTCCAGTGGTGAAAATTATCCAGTTCATTCAGTAAGTACCACTGAATCAGCTCTCTGAAGTCATTTACGCTGACAGAGCCCGCTGTGTTAATATGGCTAATGGATTCTTGTCCAGTACATCCCAAACAAACCCTTCTGGTAGAATGTGTGTCTCTGCAGTCAAACTTGGCCTCGTACGTATATGAATTTGCATTTTTCCTATCTTCTTCAGAGTGACTGGGCTTTTCTCTTCCTCTATCCCTCTGTGCAGACGGGCCTCTGCAGTTCTGGTTTTGGTTCGGTGCCTCGTGCACGGAGTATGAAGAATAACCATAAGCTGTTCTTGCTTTTTCACCTGCTGCTTCTTTTGAAGCCCCGAATCTCTTATTGCCCTTTTCATCAAAGATATTTTTGGTGGTATCTTTGAAATGCCGGAAAGTGGACTTCACTGAATCTGAGAACTTCTTCAAATTTTCCTTCACAGCTTCTTTTGCCTGCTTGATTTTTTCTTTATGATGTCTTACAAACTCCTTGGTTGAATTCTTCATAGCATCAAATGTTTCTTTAACTGTCCCCAGAAATGTCTCCTTCGACTTGCTCTTAGCCCTCTGGTTTCCTTTGCTTCCTCTCTTCCTCCCGTCGGTCTCCTGCTTTCCATTTTGGTCCTTTGCCTCAACATACAGTCTTTCCCACAAGTCAGAGCGCTGCTGCTCGAAGTTTAGCTTCTGCTCCAGCTCAGCCAGCCTCTGTTGCAACAGCACCATTTCCTTCTCTTCATTCTGCGCACTGTGAGAATCTGCCTGGGCCTGGGCCCTGCCAGGGACTAACTGCTCAAGTTCAGCCCGCAGAGCCATTGCTGTGAGCCGTTCTCTCTCCAGGTCCTTCTTCAGCATCTTTGCTTCCTCCAAGAGAGTCTCTTTTTCATTAAGGAAGCTATCTGTTTTCTGTTTCTCCATTGCTAAGCACTGCTTAAGAGCCTGGTTCTCTCTAAGTAACTGCGTATTTGTGCCTTTATCCTCCAACAGTCTAATCTGCCCCCTTAGTTGCTGTAACTCTTCCTGTAATGAAGACAGGGCTTTCTCTTCCTTTTCCAGAGATATTCGTAAATACTGGTTTTCTGCAGCAAGATTCTTCTTCTGAGTTTCAAAGGTAACTTTCTCTGTTTCAGTAACTGTCCAACACCTCTCAAGGTTTTCTTTCAATAACTAAATGGGTTTTTTTAAAGAGAAGAAAAATGTCAAATGCTTGGAAAGTTCAATCTAAATCCTAATCAAGTAACAGCCATAACCTTTAGTACCCATGAGTGTGTACATAGGTGTATATATATGAGCATGTGCACACTTGCATACAAATCCTCTGCTTAAACTGTTAAAAATTGGAAAAACAAATGCTCAGTGACACTTGCCATATAGACAAGAAGCTTCTCATTAAAAAAAAAAAAAAAAAGGAAAATACAAGTGTCACATGGAAGAAAATGTGTAGCAGGCAGCTATAGCAAATCAAGAACACTGATAAGGAAGAATTTAAAGAACAAGCTAGGCCAAACTTCATCTCTAACAGCCTAAGGGCCAAGTGCTTACTAGCAGACCCAAGGCCCAGAGTCAATGTTCAGTGTTGCCTATGGACACTGTCAGATTACACCCATTTCTAAGATAGAAAAGTGAGGGAAGCCCTTCTAACCTGCTATTACAGGAGCTTTCCTGAAAAGGTGCCTACAGAATTTAGTACTAACAGTTTATTCTATTTATCCATTTATTTTCAGACAGGACCTCTCTACATTGCCCTGGCTGGCCTCAAACTGAGATCCGCCTGCCTCTGCCTCCACACCCAACAACTAAGAGATTTTAAAATTGGTTGTATTAGCCTTCAGCCACTTACATCTCCACATCCACAGACTCAGTAAAAATGTGGATTAAAAAAAAAATTCAGAAGGCAGCATGGCATGGTGGGACACACCTTTAGTCCCAGCACTAGGGAGGCAGAAAATGTTGGAGAGTGTCAGTGCGTAAGTCCCGAGTCTCATGGAAACATGCCTGAACACAAAGGACGGCCTGAATCCCAGTAACTTCCCCAAATCCAAGTAAACTTGAATTCGGAAAAAAAAAAAAAAAAAAAAAAAGAGAGAGAGAGAGACACAGAATTTTACATGTGAAAAACACCTAACAAAACAGTTGTCTCATTAGCTCATTATTCTCCATTAAAAAAAAAGATTTAAACTGTAGTTTGCCAGATGGCTCAGCTGGCAGAGGTCCTTGCTGCCAGGCCTGATGACGTGGCTTGGCTTCTCTAGGACCAGCATGGTGGACTGCAGAGAACTGATTCCTCAAAGTTGTTTTCTGATCTCTACACTTGCATCATGCATGCAAAATACTTGTGTGCACATACACAGGTAGATTAATTTTTTAAAATTCTTTGAAGTTAGATACTTGGAATCCAACTGGATCTTCTGGCCTTGTTTACTTAGCCTATCTGAACCTCTTTCTATTTATAAAATGAAAAATACTAAACAACTTACCATCATTTTGATCTTTATTACGCTTATTTGTGTGTTTGAGTGTGCATGTGGAAGTCAGAGGACAGCTTGTGGCTGTGGGGGTGTACTCTCTCCCATCATCACGTGCGGCAGGGGCTGAACTCAGGTGGTCAGCTGTGGCGGCAGGCCTTTACCCGCTGAGCCATCTCACTCGTTGCAGTCATTTCTTTACTAATCTTTACTGTATGTAACTGCACCCAAGTAGTTCAATTGTTGGCTTCTACTGTAAACTTGGCCTGATTCATCATCATGCCTAGATCCTCAAGTGCTAGGCTAGGATTATAGTGTTTGTGTGCCCCCACACCTAGCTCAAACAATTATTTCCACATTTTTATTAGTTATTTTTCAATGGATACACACCTTGAAATCTAGAAAAGACTCTTGTTCCTGCTGGCATTGCAAGAGATGATCCTTCACACCATTCAGCTCCTCTCCATGGATCTTTCTGACTAACTGCTGACGCTTCTGAATCTGAATTGTGCCTGAAAGGAAAACTAGTATAGTTATAATGTTAACTGCCACTACTCAAAAAGCACAAGACCCTCGGCCTACACTATCTATTTACTTGGATGAGGACATTCTTTTCTCTGAAAACCTTGTGGTGTCATTCATCAAATGACAGTGGATGCTAATATACAGGCCAAGCAGGTTAGTAATAATGCTAACTCATTCCGCATACACAAAGGAATATTCAAGCAGGTCACTACCTCTCTGAAGAAAAACACAGGCCACTCTAACAACCCAAACAAAACAAAATTTTTATCTTGCTGTATCAAATGTACTCAGCTTTGAGGTCTCTGAAGTAAAGTGTTAGCCTCTTTGTGAGCAGAGAAATAAGTCATTACTGAAGTTCTTTTCCTACAGGTTAAGAGTCAAAAAAGAGCAAGAACCCTTAGAAAATGCAAACTCTCAGGAATCTATGAGAGTGACTTTAACTAAGACTCCTAGCAATGGGGCAATATAGAGCCTGAACCAGCCATTTCCTGTAACCACACAAGACTTCCAATGGAGGGACTGGGACACCAACCCAGCACAAAACCTTAAAGCCACAATTTGTTCTCCCTATTTCCTCCCTCCCATCCCCCATCCACCCCTCCTCCCCTTCTCAGAAAAGGGGAGACATCCCATGGATATCAACCAGCCTTGGAACAAAATTTGAAGGAAGGGCCAACCAATGACGGGCCCAGCTCGAGACCCATGCCATGAGAGGGAGCCTACCCCTCACACACTATTAATAATACTCTACTATACTTGCAGACAGAAGCCTAGCACAACTGTCATCAGAGATGCTTCACCCAGCAACTGATGGAAACTGGCAGAGGCCTATACCCAAACATTAAACGGAGCTGGAAGAATCCTATAGAAAAGGAGGAAGAAGGACTGAAGGAACCAGACGGGTCGAGGACCCAAAAAACCCTTCAGAATTAACTAACTCAGCTCTAAATGTGCTCACAGAGATGAAAGTGCCAACCAGAGAGCATGCATGGCACAGGACCTAGGCCCTCTCCACATATGTAACAGTTGTACAGCTGGGTCTTCATGTGGGACCCCTAAAGTGGGAGCAGGGGCTGCTTCTGACTACATTGCCTGCCCTCGGAGCCCTCTCCCCTAACTGGTCTTCCTGGTCCAGCCTCAACAGATGATGTGCCTAGTCTTACTGCAACTTGATATGCCAAGGCTGGTTGATATCCATGGAAGGAGTCGCCTTTTCTGAGAAGTGGAGGAGGGGTGGATAGAGGAAGGGGAGGGAAGAGAGAGGGACTGGGAGGAGAGGAGGGAGAGGAAGCTGTGGATCAGGATGTAAAGTAAATAAATAACTTAATTAACAATAATTTAAAAATTATAAAAGGTCAAAAAAAATGTGAGGCAGGTATTTCTGGCTGTTCTGAACCTAATTTGTAGACCAGACCTCAATCTCAGAGAGCCACCTGCCTCTGCCTCCTGAGTGCTGGGATTAAAGAGATGTACTATCCCCAGTCTGCAAAGTGAATTTCTTTTCTTTCTTCCCTTTTTTTTTTTTTTTTTTTTTTTTTTTTTTTTTTTTTTTTT